GCACCACCACGTTCGGCCATTGACACCTCGCCTCCTTGTCCTCTCCTGTCGCGCAGTACTTCTGACTGACCCAGCACCTCCAGCAGTTGTTCTTGACCGTCTCGTTCCTGCTCGCGCCTCTCGCCCGGGTCATCGCCATCCGGAAGTCGTCCAGCTCTCTCCCCGTCACGCCCCGGTGCGCTGCGCACTGCATCGTCCTGTGCTGACGCCACTCCTCGCTGCCCGCCTCGTCCATCATGCAGCACGCCACGCACCCAGCCCGCAGCTCGTTGAACAGCTGCTCCACCTGCCCCCATTCGCGCCCGTGCCTCTGCTGCTCGTCCAGCCACGGCCGGACCCCGTCTCCGCACCGGTCGCAGCCAGCCGCTCCCTCCAAGTCGCTGCAGCTCACCCCGATCCGGTCCATGTACCGACTCATCAGCAGCCGCCGACAGCCGCTGCCGACAATGAAAAGCCCCATCGCCGACACGTCGATGTTGTCCGACTGCACCGCCAGCGTCTGCTCCACCTCGCCGTGCCCCACCAGTATCACCGAATCCACCGCCTCGCCTGCTCTCCCGCCTCGCCCGCTCTCCTGCGCGTAGTCGATCATGCTCCACGGCATGCCCACGTGCAAGATGTACACAATCCCCGGGTAGTCTACGCCGGTGCCCAGCGCCGACGTTGCCACCATCAGCCCGCCCTCTTGCTCCCACCTCTCAAGCTTCTCCGCTTTTTCCTCGTCCTCGACACCTGCGTGATAAAACGCACAGCCAAGCGCGGCTGCCATGTCCTCGCACAGCGCCTTGCTCCGGCAGTACACAACCCCCTTTAGCCCACGCTCCTGCAGCTGTGCCTGACGCCGCAAGCCGATCGTCACAGCCATCTCTTCCTTCTGCTCCGGCTCGCACCACGAGACGAAATAGCGCGTGTTCGGCCGCACGGTGCTCGCCCGTATGTACGTTGCGTTGTGTATGAGCATGCTCGACTCCAGCGCGTGCTCCCACACCGGCGGCAATGTCGCTGTCATGAGCACGATTGGGCAGCCAAGCAGCCGCAAGTTCTTCAGCAGCGCCAGCTTCGGCCGCCAGCTGTGTGCTGAGAAGACGAGATGACATTTATCCACTACCGCCTGTCGCAGCAGCCCCTTCTGAAGCAGTAACCCTGCGTACGCCAAGAAGTTGCTCATGCTGAGAATGTCACCTGCGTGATCTGCGCTGACCACGACGACGGATGCCGGGTTGTTCTCGCCATGCTTCCACTCTATGCACTCCACACCGCTGCTCTGAATGCGTTCCACTAGATTGTTGATCAGCGCCTGGTACGGCACGACGACAACCGTAACCCCTGTCTGCTCTACAACCGCCGGCACCGTGAACAGCAGACTCTTGCCGCCTCCTGTCGGGAGCACGATGACCAGCGGGTTCTGTCCGTCGAGAACGGCATGCATCGCCTGCTCCTGCTCCACCGAGCGGAACCCTACCTCCTGCGTGCCCAGCACCTGCTGCAGCGCTGTACGGATCTTGTCTTTGCGCGGGTCTTCTACCCTCGCCTCCTTGTCCCGCGGCAGCAGCGCCAGCTCAGACATGCTTGCCCGCATCGGCCTTTTCCTCCGCGTGCTGCTTGCAACAGCTGTTCGACGTACCTCGCCCGTGCCATCAACCCCCAAGAACTTGTGCCACGCTGCGCTGAGCGGCCGGAATGCGTCGATCGAGCGCACGCTGAGATGCTGGACGATATCTATCGGCACGCTGTAATTGCCCACGCCCATTGCAGTTGTGCGTGAGTTCTGAAGCTCAATAACATCCTCGCCGTCGTCTTCCACTTCTGCCTCGTCTACTTCGCCAATGTCGTCCTGGTAGCCCTTGCTGAACGACTCTCCAACGTAGACTCGGCCAAGTCCTACGGCAGTATGCCGGTAGTCAAGCGTGTGCAGCGTAACACCCAGTCTCTTCTGTGTTTCTCGCTTGAGAACTCTCGTCAGTCGATCAGTGTTCCACGCGCCCTGTGCATCATGCCAGACGTAGTCGCTGTAGCCACCGCCGAGCACCTGCAGCGTTAGATACTCGCGGAACGGCTGTATATACGCCAAGTAGAGCGCCATGATCTGCCCGAGCTGCGG